AATACAAGCCAAGTGCATCCGTCTCGAGAACTATGAAGGGTAGAGCTGAGCAAAACTTGACTCGACTCAAAAAATCGTTTTTTTAATTTCGAGTTATTTGAGCAGTTTTCAAGTTCAAGTCGAGTTGGAATTTTGAAATTTTGAGTTACTCTAAAAACCAAAAATTTGACTGACTATTTTGATAGTATTGCGATTTAGTCCCTGATTTCCTTATTCCTTCAATTCTTCCTTCATTTTAAGTCAATTTTTACCAAATTTGAACCACATGCTCCTAAACCATCATAGAATACTTATGTGCTTTCAATTCCTCTTTTTGATAACAAATTTTTTATTTTCAATTTAGTCCCTCAAATTTTCATGATTTCTTTATTTCTTCAATTCATCCTTCATTTTATGTCCATTTTTTTACCAAATTTGAATCACATGCTCCTATAAAACTATAGAATACCTATGTACATCAATTCTTTTTTTAACTAAAAATATACTCTTACTTTTTCATTTAGTCCTTTAACTTTATATTTTACTCAATTTAGTCTTTTGATTGCAATTGTTTGCAAATTCTTTCTTCCCATCAATTCCTTGACTCTTTTATACTCTCATCAATATTTTACTCTCAATATATATATAATATAATATTGTAAATATATTTATAAATTTAGATTGTATTTGATATATTAAATAGCATTATATTGTTTAAAGAATATGAAGATATATATATATATATAAATATCTTATATGGTTAGAGAAAAACAAAAAATCAAAATCAAACCTTTACATAATAATATAATAATTATAATAAAATTTGTATTGAAACTCGAATAATTTGACTCGGATTTCTTAAATTCAATTCGACTTGAAAAAAAATCAAATTAAGTTCGAGTAAAAAATATGACTCGTTAATTTAAATAACTAAAAAAATTTTACTCGACTCGATCGAATGCTTTGATGAAGGGAGTAATTAAAGTATTCAACTCGTGAATGATGAATCTTGTTTTAACTTTGAAGTCGTGTTAGGCTGGCAGGTTCACTTTCAACATCAAAGTTTAAAGAAAGTGGACCAAAATAAAAGGCAAACCCAAGCATTTGTGGAAAACAATTAGCGAATCACGTGTTATTTCCAGGTGATTCAAATTTAAATAATATTATTATTTATAAAATTATCTAGATTTAACAGATGTTATTATAAAAATAATAATTATAAAAAAAATTCAAGAAACATTTTTTCACGTAATTATATAGAATATATTTTATTTAATATATTATTAATTTTTTGAAATGAAAATATATCAAATAATATGGAAATATACCGACAAGGCCCAACCTGCTAACTCTGGACCAATATACAGACAGCTAACCCGCCCACTGTTCATTTTCTGATTATAGGCCTACAAGATTTTTTTTAAGTTCCCATTGTTTTGAGCTTTGCGCACAGTGGGAGGAGCTCAGTGACTGTTCTGCAACCGACTCAAGTGTTAAGCCCATATCTCTACAATCTCCAATTGCTAAAATTCTACAATATTTATAAGTCGTGAATTTAAAATTAATTTGAGTTGATGTATTCTTTTGAGTTTAAAATTATAATAAAAGATAGATTTAAAATTGTAAATAAATTTACAGATGTTACTAGGAGATTGGGATGTGGTGGGCATTCAGGAGGTGCATATATGGGCCATTAGTGTGAGGAAGGTATTGCAATAAATGAATAGAGCGGACAAGGAGTTTAATATCGGCCGTGTTTGTGTGTTACCATACTGGATAACGGACCAATTTAGACCATGCTTGGGCCCTCTCTTTTCTCATACATCCCCCATCTTTAAACTATAATATTATAGAACTGGTATTTATGTAGTTTAGCATAGTCTTTTCTGCTTACCAGTCTCTATCCAATACTTAATCAGTAGTTATCAAGCACGCAAATCTCGTTTTAAGGAATCATCTCTTTCGCTCCATTTCACGTTTATTTCCATTTTAGTTTGATAAATACATGTACATCTCTTCAAACAAAAATGTATCAGCATGCTTTCACAAAATCATTAGTAAATTTTACTAAAAATCACAAGGATCATAAGAAATAGGGATGATTGTAATGGATGTTGTCCCTTAAATTTAAGACAACCTTGTAAACCTCGTGCATCTAAAGTGATGAAATAAAATCCACTTGTACCATTCTTTTTTAAAATAACTTTTTTTTTAGAAAGAAATAATGGAACCATCAAATTGTTTGACTATCATTTTATAAGAAAAGTAGAAGGATAAAATTGTCAAATAATATCTTTAAATATAAATAATCCAATCCCCAAATTTATCCCTCACTATTTGTATTGCTCACAGTAGGCACTTATTCCGTTGATTTGGTGACATGTGATGTTCGGAGTCGGGGCACCGCCATCCTACGACCATCTAACATCTCTAACATGTCTCGATTACCGGCAAAAGGGGTGATGAAACCGGTTTGATCTAAAAGTACGATGAAGGATATTCAAGTTTTGAGAAGAGGATAAGGTTGCTTGCAAAAATGGGCCTTTGGTTTAACCATGAAGATAATACAAGATATTGTTGATGAGATGAATACCACCTCTCTTTTTTACCGACACAAGTAGATGCGTGGGCATAATCCAAGAACTACAAGACAAGACCGAAGTTTGCAGTTTTGTTTAGCAAGAGAGTGTGCCCCGCTGGTTGTGTGGCTGAAGACTTGAAAATGAATAAACTTCAGTTCAAATGGATAAGATTTTTAGAGACAATACTATGTGTCCATAATTCTTAGGCTCTCCAATTTTATCTCTGCTTTTGCTGCTGCCAGAAGCAAATGTTGTTTACTGTTTACTGTTGGAAATTCAGTTGAATTTGATGTGCTACTAATAGTATAACAACATTTAATTTTCGACAATTCCATTAGATCAATGACCGAAAATATTCATCCTTCATGCATCAAAATGATCATTCAAATAACCCCAGAATTATTGCAAACTAGTCTGGCAGTCAACAACATTGTTGTCTTCGTTTGGCTTCCGACTGATTTGAATCAGAGTTCTGCCATTAATGGCGGGGGTTTTTTTTTTTGCTTCTTAAATACAAAGGCAGGTACCCATAAAAAAATGAAGCAAGAACCTTATTTCTATACAAATTTATAAATAGAAATATGGGGGGGGGTAAATTTATACGGGGAGTGTTGAAACTTTTAGCAGCATGACAAGATTGATGAACAAACTTGTACAGAACATATGAGACCCCAGAAATCATTAAGGGTGGTTGGTACATTGAGGAACTTGACTAGTTGAGCTTCAAGGCAAAAGACAGATCTAAAACTCAATATCCTTCCTCTCCAACACAAGTTTCTGTCCTTTGAAACAATGAATAGTTTTAATGGGCTCACAGCTGTTTTCTCTGTGGAAATTGGGCAACAACCCCACATATTACGAGCAAATCTCTTTAGGTAAAAATAATGGGCAGGTGGTTTTAATATTATAAAACGGAATGTATTTTGATCTAAATATAACTGAAATAGAAAAATCCAGCAAGAAGCTAAACCAGAGAGATGGTAGAATAAATTCGAAGGGTCGCAATATGAACCCCGGAGGTGAAGATTAATTTATTGTGACTTTTAATCTAAAATATTATTATATTTAACTTAAAAAAACTATACAATTAATAAAATTTTTAGTTACTACCGAAAATGTTACATTACCACGAATTTTAACCTAAAATATTACATGTATACTCTAAAAAATTACACGATTAGTAAGACTTTTAATTAAAGTGAGAATGTTTTGACAATATTATTTTAGGTTACAACTGAAATAGTTATACAATTTATATGAATTATTATTGGTTCGTCCAATTTAAGTCAATCTGCTGTTAATTCCTCCAACCCCTTTTGTTTAAGTCTCTACCATGATCGAGAGGCTAAAATTGAACGAGAGTTAACGAGTGAAGGGTTAAAATCGTACGAATCGATAACATTATAGACTAAAATCGAACGGATCAATAACGCTAGGAACTATTTCCCCTTAATCTTTAAATTGATGACCAAAGTCGGACAGACTGAAAACATAAGATACTATTCACATAGTTCACCCATATTTTTTTGATCAAATATTTGTCCAACGCGATGTAGCGCTGTAAATGAGAAATCACGAGCTACTCGAGTTATACTCGATCAAAACTCGAATTGAAATGAACTCGACTCGAATTCTTAACGAGTCAAAACGAGCTACTCGAGTTCGACTCGATCAAAACTCAAATTGAAATGAACTCGACTCGAATTCTTAACGAGTTAAAACGAGCTACTTGATACTCGATTTGAAAAACAACCTCGCGAGCTACTCAAAAAAAAATAATATATCAATTTTTTATTTTAAATTTAAATTATTATTAATATTAACATTTATATGTTTTTAAAAATATTATATAAATTTTCATATACTTAAAGTTTAAGTTCAAGTTTAAGTTTAAATTCAAGTTCAAACAAAAATCGAGCTCGAATTTAAACTTCAATCGAGTTAAATCTAAGAATATTTCGAATTTAAGATTTGTCAAATTTGAATTGAGTTTAATTTTTTTATTTCGAAACGTTTTAAACTCAAATTTCGAATCATGCTCAACTTTAAACTTTTGATTACTAAATTCGACTCAATTCGATTAATTGAGTAACTTACACTCAACATATATATAAACATATATATATATATATATATATATAAAACGGAGAATGGTGGAGATGCGCTTTAAGGAAACGCCCCATTATCAATCAGACGGGTGACAAAATCCATAGCAGGACTTTCCAAAGCTTTATTAGTAGTTTATTTCCCCTTTGGTGTACGCTCAAAAGGGCAGTCCCCACAACTGTGTGTCCCCGCTGCAGAACAAAACTGCCATCGCCAATAATGCTTGGGACCTTGTAAACCAGACTCTCTCTCTTTCTCACCAAACCTTCTACTATCAAATACTGAAAACACTTTACTGTATATCTTCTCATTCTTAGTTTGGGTATTTTTTTCACCGTATCTGTTTCTTCTTCTCCTTTTGCTCTCACCATTGTTGCAGCATTTAAACTCTGTCTACATTTTCCTTTTTTTTTTGTCAGTGCGAGTTCTTCAAAGCATTTATTACCAAGCACCGGGAAACCAAGGGGGAATAGAATTGTGTGTTGGGTATTGGGTTTTGTTGTTTAAGGTCTTATTCCACTTCATTGGGGATTTGGGGTGTTACATTTGTTACTTGTTTTGATTTGTTAGCCATCAATATATGGAATGTTGGGTAACTGAGAGAAGGACACACAACTTGAAAGAGAAAAGGAATTTGAAGGCATTTATTTCAACTACTTATTACTACTAAGCGTTATGGAGAAGCTCGAAGGACCAATTAATCCTTATGTATGTTATTTTGCTTACTTTTAGGACTTTAGCTTCTTCTTTTTTGCATTTTCTTGAATCCCATTTCTAGAATCAAGGTGTAGAGTGCGTTTATTCTATATAAAAACGCTTGCATTCAAGGCATCTTATGTTGTTTTCCTGGAAAATGCTACTGTACTATTACTGATTCTTACTCTTTTAACATTCTATTCTCATTATGCTTTCCTTTTCTCTTTATCTGCTGAGAGTGAGCCATGTGCACTCCACCTTGTTAAAAAATTTGCTTATTTTCTTTGTTTTTTGTTTGTTTGTTACCTTCAAATTGTTCATTGAAGTTCCTAGGAGATCATTTGGAGGTGGAATGCTTCAAACAAAGCTTTGCGAACTCAGAAAGATTAAGTCTTGGTGAAGAAGAAGAAGCACAGTTTTCAACACCATGCTTAGAAGAGAGAATGCCATTTCTTCAAATGCTTCAGAGTGTAGAATCACCTCAGCATTTTGCCTTTAGAGAACCAAATTTCCAGACTCTTTTGAGGCTGCAACACTTGAAGAAGCCTTGGGAGTTGAACAACAATCCTTTCGTTCCGGAAATGGAAACCCAAATTCAAGCCCCGGAACTAGAAAGCTGCGTCACTCATGAAATACTAGTCGACTTGCTTTCACCGATCAAATCCGAGACCAAAGACGTTAAGACAAGCCCCCCTTCGAGTTCATGTTTCGAGGTTCTCAGCTCCGGGTCAAACCAAGACCAACCAAACTCAGCAACAGCAGACAACTGTGGTAGACAAGGCAACAACTTGGGGCTGTCCTCGCCTTTGAAAAACTTCACAAAATCACCTCCTGTCACTAGAGAACGACGGAAGCGAAAACGAACCAAGGAAGCCAAGAACAAAGAAGAAGTCGAGAGCCAACGCATGACCCACATTGCCGTCGAACGAAACCGTAGACGTCAAATGAGCGATTATCTAAATTCCCTCCGCTCTCTGATGCCTCCATATTATATCCAAAGAGTATATTAATCTAGCCTTAGAACTAAATTTTAGTCCCATTGTTAATACTTTGTTTAACGAGAACCATGTTTGGGCTTTGTTTTATAGGGTGACCAAGCCTCAATTATAGGGGGTGCAATTGACTTCGTTAAGGAGCTAGAGCAACTTCTTCAATCCCTGGAAGCACAGAAGAGAATGAGAGGATTTGAAGAAAGCAACAATATCAATGATAATTTCATGTCAAAGTTTGCCATGGAATCTGAAGATGGAAACCGTGGAGATGAAATAAAAGCAGAAAACAAATCAGGAGCAGCTGAAGTTGAGGTTAATGTAATACACAATCATGTCAACTTAAAGATTCAGTGTCCAAGAAGAGCTGGTCAGTTGGTGCAAGCCATTGTCACCCTTGAAAGTCTTAGATTAACAGTTTTGCATCTCAACATTACCACTTCGCAAGCATCTGTTCTTTATTCGTTCAATCTCAAGGTACTGTTCATTTTTCTAAATAAAAAAGGTTTGGTTTTGTTTTGGCTCAAACCGTAGTTCCAAAATTTATCAACATTCGTCTTGTTTTCTTGCTGGCTTTGTTTTGTTATTTTCTGAGGTTGTGCTGGAAATGGCAATGACAGATGGAGGACGACTCTGAGCTAAGATCAGCAGATGAGATAGCAGCAGCAGTTCATCAAATATTCAGCTAATTCAAAGCTAAAATGTTAGGGATATTCTCATTACTCATTAGGCAGCTGACTTTGATTCCTCAAGTGAAGAACCAGACCAGGAAAAAATAGAAGGTAAAAAATGAAAAAGAGGGGGGTCCATTGTAAGCAAATGCTTTGTTCCACAAAGACAACTCAAGACAGAGCCCTTGATGTTTACTTCTTAACTTGAGAAACTTCCCTTGTTTATTCATTAATGATCCTATTTGCTCGCTCTTATTAGAAATAATAAGTAAATCTATGTAATTTCCAAGTATCTTCTTCCTTATTCTAGTACTAGCTTTCTGTGACCGTGGGGACCAAACGAGAGCCACCATGCCCTGCCCCTGGGGGCCTTGGTGAGGCATTGTATGGGGGTTTGATCAAGTATGAAAATTTGTTGTATAAATCTGAATCTCATGATTACATTTTAGCCAATGATGCTTCCCTTTTTATATTGACTTTGGGGTGTCCGTATGATGTTTCATCATTATATTAACGTCCTCTCCGCCTACTTTTTTTTTCTCTTGGTTGCGCCTTTCATTTGTGTACTCTAGTTTCCCATGGGCATATACTTCATTTCCATCCCATGGACCCTCTTTTTTGTTACAAGTCAATAATCCATTAGCTAAGCTGAAAAGAGAGCAAGTGAGCAACCCATGTTCCCACACTGAAAATTGTCATAAGGGAGCTGCAAATGCAAAAGTGAGCAGCAGCAGCAGCTTAAGGCATACATCCCATGTGAAAATGGAATCAAAAGAAGACCGAACCAGAGACAAATCACCCTCTCATTCTAGACATGTCTTAATCATTTTGGTCTTCGTGTTGCTTCCCTTTTGACAGCCTTACCTTGCGTTTTTCTTCCCCCTCAAGCTCAGTCCCGATCCACCATTGTTATCCATTCCTTTTTAAAAAACTATATACAACCTATCATTGTCAGGTTTTGTTTAATGACCCTAAGCTCTTTCCAAGTCGATGAAAAACCAAAAGGTATATTAACGTTTAGAAAAACGGATCAAAGGAGGAGACATTGGTCTCAGATTTTGGAAGAAGTGAATGTTTTATCGGGAAGAAGAAACCAGAATATTTATATATTATCATTGCTCCGTCCCTAGTTTGATACCTGAACCAGGTGACATGGCAATGTGACTACGTCCCTTCATCAACCAAAAGCTTTCAAATCCCCATTCATCTCTTATTGTTTCACTATGTTGTTCCTATGTAGTAGCTAGTAGCACAGAGGTTTCTTTTCCATGGGAACTTGGTATTTATTATATTTGTTAGTAATTGGGAATTGTTAAAGATTTAAATGCCAAGAAATCATTTTTTTTCAATTTTATTCAATGATATTAGAATCCTGACCATCTTACCATTCTGCAAATTCCAATGAAGCAAATGATAAAGCTCGATCATGCACTACAATTGTACCTAAGAACTTCGTCTGGTTGGGTCCCCCCATAGCCATGGGCATGGGCAAGGGGCATGGGTGTACACCTCACTTTCTTAATGTTTCCTCCATAACCGTACCATCAATCAAAGAAATGGAAGAATCTGAATCTCCATTTTTGACCAATAGTCATCACCCTCTTCAACAACATTAATAAATTAAGAAAAAAGTGCCAAATTAAAAAAAAAATTGATGAATGATGATGCGAGGGGTTTGTCTACTCAACCACTGCACTTTCCGCTCGTGCACGTTTGCCAGAGAAAATAGAAAATGGAGATGTTTTATAATAGTTTGGGGTTTGGTTAGCTTTCGGCGGATGATGTATGTTATAGCCTTTATTTTGTAGGCTACGCCATGGATTCTATGGGTGGGCCTTTCTTCCCATAAAGACCTGTTTTATTTACTTATATAAGACAACCCAAATTATTGGCTGATTATCAAACCTTTGTTTTGGAACATGAAGTTTGCCTTGAAAAAAAAACTTAACTCGGCCTAATGCCCCTCTCTCTCCTTATAAAAATTAAAAATATATACTTCTTATTTAATCATCTATTATTTTATTTCTATTTTGATTATAAAACTATATTTTTTAAATTATACCTATTGTTATATTTATTTTAATCATTTATTGTTAAAAAATAAACAAGATGTAGTATAAAAGTAAATGAAAGTTAGAATTATGTATGTAAAATATGAGTGGAAGTACAAGGGAAAGTTGCCAACTCGTAATTGATGTAAGGTGGTGAGGGATTAGTATTATATTCCCCACCTGTAAAAGATCAATATAATGTCCCAACTTAAAGGCCAATGGATTCTTTTATCTGTTGAACTCTAACGTTTGATCTATTTTCATATATGAAAGCGTTACAGTAATTTAATCCTATCCGGGTTGTTAATCTCATTGTGAAATATAACTTTTGAAGACAAAGCAGAGAAGTGGACAATTTCAATGAAGGTTTTTCTACTAGCAAAAGTTAAATGTAAATTTAAGATTTATTCTTAGTCACACATACAATGAACAAAATTTGAGTGGGAGTGAGAAAAAGATATTTTTGAGTTTGGAATTTGAGATGGATAACACAAATGAAGGGTATTGGCACAGAAAAGAGAGCTAAATCGGAATCATACACCGTAAATGGCCTATCCAATTGCCGTCTCTATCTACATCAACTCAATGAGTGGTTCTGTGTGTGCAAACTCGGAGAACAATCCATCTGCACATTCCCATCTCACAATTATCTCATCATTTACTACTAAAATTAACCAGAAAAAAAATGAAACAATAAATTTATAGAACCCAACCAAATTGCATCATCTTTTTCCCATTTCACTTGCCATGGCTTCAGCTTCCTCCAAAGCACTATCAATCCCTTCCTCATCCATCCTCGTGGATGCCAAGGCTCCTCGTCAATCGACTACTGCATCGCCTCCGTGTGTGACTCTTCCTCCCCCACCGGTTCAATCCCAGAGTCGGGCCCGGAAGACCACTGCTTACTGTAAAATTCAATATCTCATTTCATACAATATATCAACACGACTTGATCGTGTGCACGGAACACAATAAAATGGTATGTCAACTTCATCTCAGGTCGCAAGATTGCTCGAAACATGATGGTTATGGCCACGGGTGAGGCTCTTGCAGCCCGTGAAGCTCCGGTGGAACTTGTACCAGCTGAGCTGCCAGAGTTTATCAAGACATTACAGAAAACCGTGAGAATGTTCCCTCATGTCACATTTCTTTCAATCTTCGCTTCGTTTTTCCTGTTCAATACAAGTGCTTACGACACGAACATATATCATCGGTTTTCAGTGGGACAGAGTTGAGGACAAGTACGCAGTGAGTACACTTGCCGTATCAGGTTTGGTTGCCGTTGTCGGTTCTGCTGGATTGGTCTCGGTGAGATTCAAATGATGCAGATAGTTTTAACTCTAAAACTGATTATACTCCAAAATAAGTAAATAACAATTAAACTGGTGAAATTGGAATAGGCAATTGATAGGCTTCCTTTGATTCCTGGATTAATGGAGGCCGTGGGTATTGGCTTCAGTGGGGTAAGCTTAAACTCAATTTATCAAAGCTTTGACACTCAGAAATCCTCATTTTTCTTAGACATTTGTGTTATCTCCTTGCAGTACTTCGCCTACAAGTACCTTCTTTTCAAGCCAGACAGGTAAGCCTGATGCATAGCAGAATCCTTTCTAAAAAAAAATTCCCATTTTAGTGACGATCTTTCTGTCATCCTACTCTAAAAATCCAGGGACGCTTTGTTGAAGAAAGTAAAGGAGACATTCAAGGAAATACTTGGAATCAGCTAGAGGAAAATGGTTACTGGTTAAGGAAAATGATGCTGCTGAGATGTGGAAATGACTTGAAAATCTGAAGCCCAATATTTGCAGCATCAACATGTGCCCTTTGCCATTGTCAGCACAAAATTCTAACGAAAGTAATCCAGCCAGTGTAATTTGGTCTTGTAGTGGGCAATTGAGATACATTTTGTACTTCTACATTTTCCTCCTGTACCACACATCTTATGGAAGTTAATAGAAGTAATCTCAATTACTTTTTACAGATAGAGAATTAGTTTAGAGGATGCGGACTATGAATTGCTTTAGACAATCGGAGTGGACTGAATTAAATCTTTATTTCTGCATATATTTTGCTTGAAACTTGAGAACGAAGGGTCTTAAATGTTAAACATGTTTCGGCGTTGAGACCCTGTTTCCAGAACTTATCATACTATTCAGTGTACGTAAAGTTCCTGTACAATGGGGGATGACGGACGGGGTCGATCAGTTGCGGACCTGGTCGAATCATGGCGTCGGGTGATGGTCAATGGAACGTCGGGATAGAGATTCTCTCCTCCTTACAATTCACCACTGCCCGATGAAGCACGCTCTTGTAACTATCACTTTTCAATCTTTTTAGTTGTTGTAGGTGAAATAAAACAATAATTAATAAGTAACGTTTACTTAAAAAGAATAAAATAAAATCACTTTTAAACTTTGATATCTCCTCTCATATTCCTTCTATCTGTTCAATATCTCAAGCACGTTACGAGATTATTTTCAGTACTCCATTATATATAAATATAATTCTTGCTTATTGGGTTGCTAAATTTCGACTTTTGAAACTAACCAAGTCAATCATGGATGGAGGTGGCCAAGTAAATTGCTTTTGATCCATCCATCTCCTCAACTTTTCATTGCATTCAAGTTGAAGTTTTTAAATTATTACAACAATAATAAATCAACTGAACTAATATCATAAGAATTTTAAAATTCAGCTGGTAAACTATCATATATTATTTATAATATTAGAAATAAGAATAAAATCCTTAAATAGTTAATAAATTATATTAAAATAATTTGACATGTCTCGTTTAAAGATCTTCATAGCTGGAATAAAGTCCGCATAATTCATTAGTTATGGGATATTCTCTCAAGCAGGTTCTTCATGGATTGTTTACACCTCTGCTTATGCTTCGAGATGTGAAATTGCAACAGGTACAAAAATCTCATTATCAAAATTGGAGTTAGAATTTTTCCAAAAAATAAAAAAGTAAAAATTTAGTTAGAGTAGTAACAATGCAAGTTTTTGATGGGAGTAGTTGGCCTCTACAAGGGCAAAATACTAGTATTAGGGGCTGTTTGGTTTACGGCATATGAGATTACTGGGGGTATAGAATCCTCATTCCCCCGTTTAATTGGCCAACATTCCCAGCTCCTTGTAATCTTTTATTACCAATAATGATTTTTTTGGGTATATTACCGGGAATGTGATTACCCCATTCCCTTAAGTATTATTAGATTACCAGCGTTTTGGACTAAATTGATTTTTAAAAAAAATCTTTCAAAAATATCATTCTTCTGTCGTTGAATAATAAAAATTCTACGAAGGTTAAATTATAAATTTATCCTTAAACTATTTTAGATTTACAAAAAACAATAATTATAATTTTATATGAAGTTCATGGGTTAAAATAAAATTTTACCCTTTCATTAAACCTATTTATCTTTTCAATTTTGTAAAAAAAAATTATATAAATTTTATGAATTTAAATTTTTTAAAGAAAAATATATAAATTAATTATAGTAATATTATAGTCGAATTCAACTTGTTAAAAATTAAATATATAATAAGGACAATTTGATAAAATATACATTCTAACAATCTTTTATTCCTTTAACCAAACACTGTAATCTTACATTCCTGCTAAACCAACCAAACACAAAATACAACATTCTCAATAATCCTATTTCCCGGTAATCTTTTATTCTCACTGTTAACTTACATTCTGTGAACCAAACACACCCTTAGGGGGTGTTTGGTTCAAGGATTGTGGGATTCCCACATTCCCATGTTTGGTTGGCAGAGAATCTCATTCTCGGTAATGTTTTATTACCAATAGTATATTTTTTGGGGTATATTACTGGGAATGTCATTACCTCACTTCCCTTAGGTATTGTAACATTACCGACGTTTTGGACTAAAATGCCCTTAATTTTTTTTTTCAAAAATATCATTCTTCTGTCATTGAATAATAAAAATTCTACGAAGGTTAAATTACAAATTTATCCTTAAATTATTTTAGATTTACAAAACAAAATCTATAATTAAAATTTTATATGAAGTTCAGGGGTTAAAATTTTTTTACCCTTTCATTAAACCTTTTTTATATTTTTAATTTTGTAAAAAAATTTATATAAATATTATGAATTTAATTTTTTTAAAGAAAATATATAAATATTTTACAATTTGTAATATTATACAAATATATAATAATGACAATTTGGTCAAATATACATTCTAATAATCTTTTATTCCTTTAACCAAACACGATAATCTTACATTCCTGCTAAACCAACCAAACACAAAATACAACATTCCTAATAATCCTATTCTCTGGTAATCTTTTATTCCCACTGATAATCTTACATTCCGTGAACCAAACGCACCTTAGTGCTATTTTTTTACCATACTACTTATCCTTTTTATATAATGCACAAATCTTATAAAAAATATTAAGAGTACAACTCTTAAATAATCAAATATTTTCAAGCGAACCCATTTAATGACCTTAGTGGTTAAAGGAAGAGTTGTTCTCCTTTAAAATTTTGAATTTAAATAATTACGTCAGCAAGATATGTATACATTATCAAATTAAAAAGATAATAAATATATGTTAATTTATAATCCCCTCAAATTATTTTAAAAAATCTAATTAGGTTGTACACAGGTACAGGGTTGGCTCAAAACTTGTGGGTTGGGTTCAAAATCCTCTATCCACTTTGAATAATGATTCCTTGGAGTTGAAAACAGAATAGTGTTTTCTAGAAAGCTTAAGAACTGCATCGCATAGTTTGGATTAAAAAAAACGATGTTGAAATGTGTGTCCAACACCTTAAGAAGCAGAATAGTGTTTTCCAGACAGATTAGAGCTAGCTCCTCAAGGACGGCGGCTTTGACCCCAAGGTCCCGTTTGGTTCACGTATCTTTCATTCTTGGAAGAAATGTTTTTTTTTTCGGGTAACGATACCCACATTTGGATGGAGTTATATTCCCAAGTGCAAGTAAAAATGAATATCAACAGTGATATTTCTTTCTTATTTTCTCGGGAATATCATTCCCCCATCTTTCTTAGGTATTTGCTCATTCCCGGTCCTCTTGTCTAAAACACCCTTCTCTCTGCTTGGTTCTGCCTGAAAGAAAACCTGTTTCTTCTTCCATTTGGCGTTCAGATTTGCTTCTGGTGTATTAGTCTCCCATCTCCCTTCTAGCGTTCAGATTGTATTTTCTATATTTATCTTTTTTCGGAGCGAAAGATATTAAATTGTTTTTGTCATTTTTTTTTGTTAGGGAAAATTGAAAGAGAAGTGGAAAGATGAAAATCACTGCGTTATTGGTGTTAAAGTGCCAGTCGGAAGGATTCGATCCCATAATACTAGCCAATGCATCCGACGTGAGCCATTTCGGTTTCTTCTAAAGGCCAAGCGTTAGGAGTTCATCATCTTCGTCTCTCGAACCGTCGACAAACGAACCTCTCCCGGTCAGTGCCAGTTCGTCCAGCACGAAGGTCCCTCCTCTGTGAACCTTTCTTAATTTTTTCTCATTACAGGATAATATTAGTTTCCTTGATTATTAATATCTCTGGCAATTAGATCAATAACATTGTCTCTGCATCTTCTTTTGTTTTATCGTGTATTACATTGTTGTTTTTTTAAAGAAAATATTTTCTGAAATTTCGATTTTATTAGTAAAATCAATATCATGATTTTGTTTTAGGTTTGAGAAGATATTTGGTTAATTATGATAATAATGATTAATTTATTTATGTTTGGTGATTTTAATGTAGAGTGCATGGTACATTCTTAAAACAGAAATGGACTTTGTGCAATTGGATTTATGGATAGTCACTATCATGTTCGAAGTGCTTTTTCACTTCTCAACCAGGTAATATAACGAAGTGTAACTCTTATCTTCTCTGTGTCACGATTTACCTTATAATTCAGTATCATCAAATCTTATTGACTGCAATATTGGTGTTCTGCACTGGCGTTCTCTGTGGTTATAATATCAGGTTCTCATAGCCTGAGAATGATTATAGCAGGAAATGAATGGAAAGGGAAAATAGAGAAGAAGAGAGGAATTAGAGAAATGATATATTCATTGATGATTGCGGTCGTGTTTACATGCATAAATCTTTATAGATTCAATTATTGTGGAATGAACTATAATGTATAGGAGCAAGTGTTATTGATAGTTGTCCTAATATTGGCTTAATCTCACCTTATTCAGTAACCACTGATTTATTCCTCCTACACGTCCCTCATTTCGGTACTTGACCCACCAGCTCTCAACTTGTAACTCCCTGTTCAGCTTCCATGTTCCTAGCTTTTAGTTTTTATTCATTTCCTGTCTCGGACCTCAGCTCATTCTTGTTTCTCTGCTTACTGGCTAGCTTAGCTATAGCTAAGTCTCATTTTCCGGCTCAATCCCTCTCTTTGCATCTTATAGCAATAACTAGATTGCTGGGACGATGGGTGGATGTGTCTATGTCTGTGTCTGTGCGTATAATACATTAAGAGTTTAAGATGACGTCTAGAGTTTGTGGGTCACATTCCTCACGTTTGACATATGGTGTTCTGAAATATGTTTATGAGATTGGATGTTCTTCTGTGGGATCTTTGGAAAATTTCAAACAGTAATGTTTGGCAGGTGGTGGATGAATATCAGAGAAATTTTGGGGAATCATGGAGAACTGCAGAAGTTGATAGCACTCAAATTTGGCCCTATTTGGATGAGGCTTTGACCAAGTTTCAGGTATCTGTTTTATCTTTCATTCATTTCTGCTGTGTTTAAATGTGGGGACTTACACCTTTCAAATCAATCTCACATTTTCTTTTCTAAGTATAATATTGGAGCTTTATAGGAGTGTTATATTTGAAAAACCTTACATAACCCTTTTACCGTTTTTAGGACACTGCAGAGGCTGATAAATTATTGAAAATTCAGAGGGAGTTGGATGAGACTAAAATCATCCTTGTAAGCAATTTTATATTTTTGTGGGAAAAGTGATGAGTTTGTGTTGTTTCCTTTTAGCTTTGAGCTATCGTACTACGATGTCATCCTCAGCTCCAATGTTCTATTTGTTCACTATTCCATATTTGAATCTTTTTTTTCTTTGTAATGTTGTGATGAATTATATCATTTCAAAAGAAAGATTTGTTCATAAATAGAAAAATATCGGTATGCTTGTGTTAGCTTGATTTGATTGATTAGAAGTTATCTCAATCATTGAAATGATTGTGTCTTTGTTGCAGCATAAAACAATTGATAGCATATTTGCACGAGGTGAGAAGCTGGACAGTTTAGTTGAAAAGAGTTCAGGTCACAGTGCAACATCTCAGGTACATGTGCACCACAATATAATCATATATTGCATTATCCAGTTTGCATATTAGTTTTCTTTTGGAGTTACAATTATATCGAAATAAACTATAATTAGAATTAATAGTTACAAAGCGCAACTGTGGACTAAATAATCGAAATATATCCGGAATCAGTGGGCGAACATCTAAAATTTTAAGAATGAACAAATTTATAGAATTCTAGGAGGACGGAAACAGATTTTTAATAGAAAAAACATAGAAAAAATCTAAAATATATGGTAATTTTAAAATTTTAAGGAGGCAACACCCACCCGCTCGGTCCATCCTTGTCCAGAGTCAGTACACGGGCTGGGAGTCGAACCTTATTGTTCCTTTGGAACAACATGTTGTTGCTAATATCAATCCTCTTTTTGTTATTGAAACAGATGTTCTACAGCCGGGCTAAGAGTAACAATCAATGTTGTAGTATACTGTAAAACTTGTAGAGAAACACAACTATGCTATGATGGCATTCAAGTGTTCTAGCAAATGGAGCTGATGGTAAATTTTATTTGTTTGTATGGTTAACCGATTTGGTCTGTTTAGTATAGAGATGGGTTCAATCCAATCCTCTTATTATTATAGAGATGGGTTCAAATTAATCCAATCCTCTTATTATTTGTCAAAAACTGTAAATTGCATTTTTAAATTTGTTAGTTTTAGTTTAATAATCTCCTCCCACAGAGTTCCGAATAGACATGCAGAAAATAATGTTACATGAGTCTATTGGTTAATTGAGTAAAAAGGATATTAAAAGAAAAATGGATTTGTGATAGAATTTTCTTTGTCTCCATTCTTTTCATTTCCCCCCTTATTTTCCTCTTATTTTTGTTCCCCTTCATCATGGATTTGTGATAGAATTTTCACTTCTTTTTCTGGATTTGTGATAGAATTTTCATAGTTCCATGCGAGTATTATTTTGAAAGGGAATTTGTTGTTTTTGTTGAAATTTATTGAAATTTCATCCAGAAGGTAAAATTTTCACTTATTTTCCTGGATTTGTGATAGAATTTTCATAATTCCATGCGAGCATTATTTTGAAAGGGAATTCGTTGTTTTTGTTGAAATTTGTTGATCCACATAATGGATTTCAACTGTGTACGGGTTTCTGTTCTTTGATCTCTGTGGTAATTGTTATAGTTATTAGATTTCAAGTCTTTGGAAGAATAATTGGAGAATCAGCTATTTATAGGCTTCAATTTTATCATCCATTATCGATTGTTTTGACTTTAGCTTAAGATCCATCATACCAGCTTGTTAAGAGTAATTTGCAATGATTTTACATTCATTCACGGATGATTTAGTAAATTCCTTGTGTTTGGTAGAGTTATAGTTTTGAATTTGTTTGTGCTTTTGACATTTTATTGTTTGAAAGCTTAAACTCTACCTTTTTTCTCTGGATCAGACTGTTGTAATTGTTCAAATATGTTTGATTTTAATTTGCAGTAAAATTAGCATCGATTTGTTTTGTCAGTGGTTTTATTCGGTCTTAATTTATTCATATATGTACGGTTCTTTTAATGCTAAGAGATGTAATCATTCTGGGCTTTATCTATTCATAGATTTGGATTACTAGTTCTTATGTCTTTGTGCAGGTAATTTAAAATGAATTTTCCATTCAAAAGCTTACACGAGGACTCCGCAACTTCTCAAATGAAAATCCTCAGGTGTCCATTTTTTAGAAACATTAATGAGCCTACAAACTTATCTTTCTCGTCGGCCATGTCCTTTCCGTTGCCGGTAAGATTACGGATCATTATGTTATGAGCTTTATGTTTCTTGCATCATGTTCTTGGTTCAAGTTCAAATTAACTTCTACACCTCAGGTACGAGGAGCAAATGGTCCGATTTTCGAAGACGACCCAAATTTTGACATGGCATTCAGGCTTTTCCATGGACGCGATAGAGTGGTTCCGCTGTCGGAACAATCTTCCTTGCATGCTAAGAAGGCAGAGCCTGAAATAGCCCCACCCAAGTTTAATCCATTGGCTGCAAAGGCAACCACCATTAGTCTCTCATCCTTCGGACCTGGAGGGCCCTTCAGTTTCGATGCAAATCATATTATGTCCGAGTACTAATAATTTTATTAAAATATTAGCAAAGATAATTATGAATGATGATGAAATATAAAATTATAGATAATATGATTTTTAGTGTTATATTTTCTTACTTATTTGAATTATGTTTTTGTAATATAAATTCATTAGATAAATAATAATGATAAAGTATGCAGAATTAAGTATAAATATAAAACATAAATAAATAAATTATTGTATATATAAGATATAATAAATATTATATCTTAAATAACAAAAATAATTTACATCTTTTTATTATTATTATGAATATCTAACCTCCCAGTGAATGCGTCAAGTATGAACCGAAGCTAGTTTCCACAATGTAAACATTTAGTTAAATGTTGATGTAAAATTTTAATAAATTTTTACATAAATTATGTACAATTTAATATTAATTAAAATTAAAATAATTCATGATATATTTAAATACTTAAGTAATATATTATCAACGGATAGAATTTTTATATAAATAATTTTTTATTTAAATATTTAAAATTTTACTTGTTAAAAAATATAGAACAAGGACAATTTGGTAAAATATACATTCTAATAATCTTTTATTCCTTCAACCAAACAATGTAATCTTACATTCCTGCCAAACCAAACAAACACAGTAATGTAATATTCCCAGTAATTCTATTATTTGGTAATCTTTTATTCCCACTGATGATCTTACATTCCGTGAACTAAACGCACCCAAAAAGTAAAGGCTGAAAATTAGGTTAAATTCTTTACAGAAATCCTTTCACTGCATCTTTTATTGAGAAAATAAATTTATTAATATTATCAACATCTAATAAAAATCATGAATACCTAAATATTTTCAATATATCAGAATTTCTATATTTGAGATGATTTAGGTGGCACTGCATGAATCGCAAACGTCGCACCTAACATCCCGCCCCCTCGTTTCGTGCTTCTTAGGTCGATAAGCCGATATTAGTAGAACTGGAGTCTGGACTTTATATCTCCCCCTCCACCGCCACCGCCACCGCCACGTCCCGGTTACCTATGACACGCTGGCTCAATGCCATCCGCTTGTTCGCACGGATGCAACCGGGAAAACCGGCAGACAGCGAAGTTCAAGTCAAAAGCGGGTCCCACGTCCTACGGCTGTGGGCGCTTTGACGGATTTAACCTCACAGTTTGGGAACTTGTGGCTGAGATTTGAAATTGGGGGCATGAAGCAACTCAGCAAGCAACGAGTTTAAATAAAAAAAGGGAAAAAGCGCAAAGGTGGGCCATAGCTAAATAGCCATCAAATTACCGCCACTTGGCAACATCTTGTTGTGTTTCTCATTTCTGTTTACCTTCACCGCTCTTTCGCAGCCAGCTCAATTGATCTTCTTAGAAGGTTGAATTTCATCTCCCATTCGTAAATCCCGATTCTCTCTAATTACTTACAAAGATAATTAAATTCAATCAAACTTTTGTATTTTTTTTGGAAAATAATTTCGCAGGAAATTGTAGTGGCTGAGATTTATCCTTCTCCCCCAAACTGTAGTGTCTTGTGTTTTAGGTCTCTCCAGAAACAAGCAAGCTTTCACTTCAAGCTTTACTTCTTTGCTGCCTTTAAAATATAAACCCATTTTCCGATGCCGGTTCCGATCTCTTTATTTCCGGAAATTATGATTTCTCCAACAAGTCTCTGTTGAACTCTTTTTTTTTGTCTCTCATGCGTGATCGTTGCTTCCAGAATTATCGTCTTCCATGGCTATAACTCAAGGTATTTTCATCGCGCATCTAATGCTTTCCTTCTTTACTTTCTGTTTGGTTGCTGCCTAAATTGATTCCTTTTGTTAAAAACGCGGCTCACCGAAGTTTTTGTTTGCTTATATAAGTTGAGCAGCGAAACAAAAGGAAAATTGATTGATTTCCTTTTGTCTTGGCAACCAAATAGAAGGTAAAGAGTTATTTTTTCCCTACAATTTATTTATGTTTTGGCTGCTAAAACGGCAATGATTTGCATTTACCGGAAGTCTGGATGAGCAAGTGTTTTCTTCATTACTAATTAAAGCTTTTTTTCTCTCATTTCTCGAAAGGTTTTGGCGTCAACGGTTTCGTTTTGGTGAGGATTCTGAATAAAGGAATTTTCTTTTTAGTTCTTTTGGAGATGCCGTCTCTTCTCTTTGTTACGGTGGATGTCCTTTTTTTCAATCATTTTCCAGATATTCAACTTTCATCGAAAGTTTATTATGTGATGAAAAATAAAGTACTTAAATATTTTTATTGTTATGATTATGACTGGAATGAAATTAGAAAACAGAGACGGATCTCTATCGATTGGTGTTGGCTTTTGTTTTTTGCAGCAGTATATAGCTATCATCAGCTTTTTCGGAGTTCAGAAACGGCTTTGCTATTTGTAGTATTGGATGTCAAAGGAAATCAAAGGAGTTTGTTGCTAGTTGCAGAGGATTTTAAGCAGCGGTAGCGCTGTCCAGGGCCATTCAATGGACGCATACTCATCTGGCGAACAAGTAATTAAGGTATTAATTACCAAAACAGAAAATTCTTTTATTTTTCTATTAAGCTCTGCATTTTGGAATTGAAGAAAATGGATTTCTTATTGTTATAACCTCAATTTTTTAATTTTCGTTATGAATTGTAGACTAGGAAGCCTTATACTATTACGAAACAACGTGAACGATGGACTGAGGAGGAGCATAACAGGTTCCTAGAGGCCTTGAAGCTCTATGGACGAGCTTGGCAAAGCATTGAAGGTTTTCACTTATTTTTCCATCTTATTGTTTCTTTTTGATGATGGGTCAAGGCGGAAGACACAGAAATAGTTCAACTGCTGCTGTGATTTAGAATTATTATTATCCTGATCTGGAGCTAAAAAATTGTTAGATCTTAGTAGTGACATGAAAGGTTTTAGTATTGTACTGTCTTAACCGGAGATCTGTCTTTTCTCTCTAAACTCGGTGATTCGCAGAACACATAGGAACAAAAACTGCTGTTCAAATCAGGAGTCATGCTCAAAAGTTCTTTTCGAAGGTCATTTGGTGCTTTCTTGCTTATGCTTAAATTCAATGTACTTTTCTGCTTCTTAACTCTTGTTTCTGCTAGAAGTATATGAAATATTGATTCCTCAATTGCAATATCTTGAATGGTTGGGAAATCTTACGATTATTCTCTACTTCATGTTGATTTATCCCCTTACTTGTATAAGCATTCTTTTGGGGGGTTAAAACAGTCAAGAGAATATGAGAAGTTTCCCTGGCACAGGCGACTAACAATTGAGGAGAAAGTGTTAAACCTAATATATATAAAGATACCGTGTTAAAAACATTAGTTGTATATCAGTAATCAGATTTGTAACCAATTACACAACGAGGTACACTGGAGTGTATTATATGTAGAAGAGGCATAAACCTTAATACTAATTTTATAACCGAAGTAAGATGATTGTCTGAGCTGTCTGATCCTAATCAAGCATACCACATTTAGGGTGACAGCCTTTCCCCTCTCCACAAATTTGTTTTATTGTTCTGGAGACGTCAGCTATTTGAATTCTATTTATTTGGGTACAAGATTGGCAATCAGATGTGTGCAAGGAAGGTTTATCATCATATGAGTCTGATCTGCTTGAAAGGAGTGTGTACTAAATTTTCCGTTGTTTTAAATGGTCACTTTCTCGTAGGAATTTCACTATCTTTTTATGCACAGGGCATCCACTTTTCTGGTTACTTTTAAACTTGCTGTAGTTTTGTACTTAATCTACCACGGCAGAGGTTTCAGATTATATTTGGTTTTTTGGCTTATAAGAGTTGTATAACTACATGTAGTCTGGATTCTTATAGAGAATGAAATACACTCACTTTAAGGTTGTAAGAGGTAAATTTGGGCTGACCCCAACTTGCTGTGCATCATGGCTAGATTATGCCAAGGTTTTGACTTTGCTTCAGCATCCATGGGTAGCATGCCAGCCATGGACAGTTAGGATTGTCAATTAATGTATCCTTCATAATCAGATAAAGGAAAATTGAATTTGTTTATGCGGCTCTTGAAACTGTGATTCCTAAGAAACCACTTGCAATTTGCTTCCATCTATGTAGACCGATTCCCTCACCCTTCCCTCTACATATGCATTTAAAACTGTCCTAGTAAATTGGGGGGCTGGTTTAGCCAAACAGTCAGCTTGACTGCTTGGCTAAACTAGCCCCCTTTTTTAATTTAGTCAAAAGTTGTGTATATATGCTCAACCATGGCCTGGGATGTGTATGTCTACCGAGTGGAATTTTATATTGCATAAGAGTCTTCGAGAGAACATGTGATTTACAGGATTCACCAATGAGCTTTCCTGATTTGAAGGACACATTTGTGTGTATACTTAAGTGAGAGTAGAAGCAGATACATCTAATGTATGTAAAACCGGCCACATAATTGACACTAGGAGTTTATAATTTTGCATGAACCTCCTGTATGAGATATGAGTAGATGTTAGAAGAATTATGCATGGACTTATAATTTCCTGATTGTTATTATATTTTCTGTTCAACCTAATTTCCTAATAATATGCAGTATTATTCTAATCACATGATCTTCTTATTCTTTGCATTCTTGTGAGAAAAACATCCCAGTTATGCTAGTCCTATCATATATTTAGTTTTACAGTTTGTTATGATTGATGCTAAATGGCACCATCAGTAACTGGAAACATTTTTCTTCTGCGTTTTTATTTGAGACTTGGGACTACTAACAAATTCCATTCTCAGCTGGAGAAGGAGGCGCTTGCCAAAAGTGTTCCAACCAGTCAAACTCTTGATATAGAAATTCCTCCTCCACGCCCAAAAAGAAAACCAAACAATCCTTATCCTCGAAAAACAAGTGCTGCTATATCAATTCAGATGGGAGCGAAGGATGGAAAATCTGAAACTCCAGTATCTTTTTTGCGTGGCAAACAGGTGTTGGACTTGGAGAAAGAACCACTTCCAGAGGTTAATTTCACTTCCTCATGTGTGTCATTTATCTAATTCTCCATGCCCTTGGTTATGTTCCATATATTTTCTATTTATCTAGGTTTAATATTTTACCCTTTTTTTCTGCCAGAGACCTAATGGGGATGAAAAGTCTTCAAATCTGAAAGAAAATCAAGATGATAGTTGCTCCGAGGTTTTTACCCATCCCCATGAAGCAAACCGCTCCTCTGAGTCTTTGGTGAACAAGAATTTTCTGTCAACATCAGCATTGATAAGAAACTCTTGCCTTTTTAGGCAGTTTGTACCTCCTCTAAAAGAGGTAGTAAATCATGATAAACATTAACCGCACCCTATGTCATTCTTTTACACAATTTTTTAATGAGGCTTATAAACTTGATGTCCTACAGACAATTAATAATGATACAAGTAAGCATTCAGACTTGGAGAATTCTTGCACTTCATATGAGAAACAAGCTCAAGATAGGAGAAAAGATGACATGGATGATGCTATACGTAGAGATGAGATGCAGGCCACTCAAAATTATCCTCAGCATGTTGCTGTACATGTCCTAGATGAAAGCCAGGGAACATGTGCTCAAAATCCTTCCCTGGATATGCCTTTCCAGGATTCCATATTTCACCCTATGGGTGATGTTCATGGACAAGCTAACCTGTTTGCAAATCCGGCTGCGTCCACTACTACTGCACATCAGCATAATGCACCAAGATCAACTCATCAGGCGTTTCCAAATTTTAATACCCCCTTTATGCATCTTCAGCCCAATCAAGAGGACTATCCATCATTTCTACATGTCTCCACTTTTTCCGATCTCATTGTATCTACTTTGTTACAGAATCCAGCTGCTCATGCTGCTGCAAGCTTTGCAGCTACATTTTGGCCATATACAAATGTTCAAAATTATGCTGATTCTCTTACTTGTGACCAGGGAGGTTTTCCTTCTAGACAAATAAACTCTGCTACAAGTATGGCTGCAATTGCTGCTGCAACTGTAGCAGCTGCCACTGCATGGTGGGCTGCCCATGGACTGCTTTCTGTATGTGCTCCTCTGCACACTGGCTGTACATATGCTCCTGCATTCGTAGCTGCTGTTCCTCCAATGGAGAATGGTCAAGATCCAGCCGCCAAGATGGATGGAAAAAATAATGATGATCACGATCTATCCATGCAGGATCAACAGTTGGACCATGAATACTCTGAAGCTATGCAAGGTCAACATTCAACATCAAAATCTCCTACTTCATCATCACCAGATTGTGAAAAGAGCAGGGATGCAAAAGTAAATACTGAAATGGAAGCTGCTGCAGTAACCGAGCCTCAAGATGCAAATAAAACGAAGAACAAAAAACAAGTCGACCGATCTTCTAGTGGTTCCAATACACCTTATTGTAGTGAGATGGAGATAGATGTACTAGAAAAGCACGAGAAAGACATGGAAGATTTGGAGGAAGCTGATGCAAATCATCCACAAGTTGAGTGTAATAATCGTCGTGGTAGAAGCAGTACCAACCTGAGTGATTCTTGGAAGGAGGTGTCTGAAGGGGTGAGTTGATTTATCTTTTCTGTTTTTTCATGTAGTTTTAACTTTGCTACTATTCCATTTGTAGTGTAATATTGTCACATTTATGGCTCCATTACTATTTGTTAGCATTTTGTTTTGGTATTTGTCAGGGCCGACTGGCTTTTCAAGCCCTCTTCTCCAGAGAAGTATTGCCACAAAGCTTTTCTCTCCCACATGACGGCAAGAACAAGGAGCACCAAAAGGAAAATGTAGGTGAAGACAAGCAAAATGCAGATGAGAACGATGACGAGACATCGACTTTTCACCTTACCAGCCAGGCAAGGAGATCTTGCTCTGACGATCGAGAAGTTGAGAACAATGCATTGCCAAAAGCTAAGAACATTGTGGAAGAGAGCCTGCTGACAATCGGGTTAGGATATGAAAAGCTTAAGGGACGCCGAACAGGATTTAAACCATACAAAAGGTGCTCTCTGGAAGCCAAGGAAAGCAGAATGATGAAAAGTGGCAGTCAGGTTGATGAGAAAGATCCGAAGAGGATACGCTTGGAAGGGGAAGCCTCTACTTGACTTAAGCTAAGCGCATTTAATTAACAAATGAAATTTTCTGTTTGCTGTGTGTAATTTCTAATCCCTACATTTGACCTGCGGTTAACGGGACTTCACGTCTAGATTTGTGTACTAATATGTGTTATATTGGCTTATTCACTTTCCGGGACCATGCAACTGTAGTTAAAAACTCCAAAATGGACTTAGATAAGAAGCATCAAGTATTGAATGACCCTTGCTTTTGGCTTATTTCCAGCATCTATATTTTATTCTACTATATTCAACTACCTTTTAGTTGCATTGAAACAGCAAACGGAAAAGGTCTACTTGCTCACGTCTTTCACTTGCTGGGGACATTCACTGGTTTCTATCAACTGCTTAACTGCTTTTATGTTTATTTTCCTTCCAAATCTTAACTATTTAGTATTTTTTTTCTCCATGACCATACAGTAGGTGTCATAGCTGCTGCCATTCAAGCTCAACATCTCCAGGATGACTGCATGCCATCTTCGGGGCTTATATGAATCAACTGAGTCGCGGGTGAATAAAATTCGATTTGACTCGATTTTTTTTTTTAAAGATAAAGTTCTAGTTATTTTAGCCAATTTATTCGAGTCAATTTACATTAGTGAATTAGTTTTCGAATTTGAATAGAGTGATCTTTAGCTAAGTGAATTATTTTATAATTTAGCTTGAAACGGGAAGTGATGGATGCAGGAGCCATTTCGATCGCCAAAACAAGAATTTAAAATCAACGGTTTTTTAGTATAATTGAAAATACAAAGAAAATATCTAAAATATATATTAATTTGAATTTTCAAGTGGGTGACTGCCCCCACCTGTCCTCTGTTCGGTTCATCCATAACTACAAGATGTGTGTACGTTATCAATGATTAAGAAAAATTATAAATATATACTACCTTATAAACATATCAAAATATTAAAAAATCAAAAAAAATATTCGTAGGCAAGCTATTACGAATTTTTAAGCTTGGCCCAAATTACTGGACCTTACCAAGAAAATTCATGATCCAAACAATTTAATGGGTCAGATCCGGAGTCTGTTCAACCCGATTATTCCGAGAAGAAAGAAAATGTCAGTTTCCGTTCTTTCCTGATCAAGTCTCACTCTGCAGATTTGTAGTTTGAGCCGAGCCTTTTTATTGCAGTGAATAAAACAATAATAAAAAATTGCTATCTTTTTATTATTATTCTTCCTTTCTCGTTCTTGTTAACGGAATACCGGTGAGTCTGTTAAAGTTCAAACCAGATTTCTTATGATTGATGTCGGCAAGCATCACATGTTGAAGATCAAAGACGTGGCAATAATATAGTAAGGCAACAAACATGTGGAAGCATCAAGCAAATGTTAAAAGAAAAGAATGGCAGCAGAGACACTTGGTAAATGAAGAATGAAGTAGCTTAAATGGCCGTAGTAAAAAACATTTGGCAACTAAAAAAAATTCTTCATTATTAGGAAAGAATTAAGTGGCTGAGGAGCGCAAGGTGCGCGACCGCGCAAGTCCCAAAAAAATAGAAATACCGAAATTAAATATACTTATTAGTTGTTATCATTAATAAGCATAAAAATAGGACTTCGAAATCGAGTATATTTATTAGTTGTTATCGTTAAGAAGAATAAAAATAAGGATCTGAAATCGAATATATCTATCAGCTGTTGCTATTAAGAAGCATAAAAATAGATATCCGAAATCGAATATATCTAAAAAATAAGAATACATAAAGAATTTGCACGACCTTCATAACCTAACCACGACCTGAGTGCCATCCAATTTAAAGATACTTAATTGTTAAAAGAAGGAAAAAACTGCAAAATGATAAAGGATAAGGTTATAACAGCGTAGAAGAATTACATTAGGAAAAGTAATCTAGGTCGGTTAATTAATTCTATATAAGAGTGTTTGTAGCTTAATTTGAAGTATGTATACACGAGTGAAAGTGAGAAAAAAATTGAGTGATAAATAGTGAAGCTCAGTAAACTTTTGATAGTGGGTTGTGTGTGTGTAAACTAACCGCATAATGTTTGTATCGTATTTGTATTTTGGTTCATATTAATAATGGCGTGCGAGTTATAAAAGTTATTGAGTGTTCACCTAGGCTTCTAACAGTGCCAGGGCGGGTTTCCGATCAAAACCCTATTCGTTCGATACTCTCCGGGTAACATTCGGTTGATGAAATGTGTAAGCTTTAGTTTTGCTCCTTATTTCTTAAAATCAGCTCTCTTTTTTCATTTACTCGTTAACTTATGCATTTGTTCATAGATGAACTGTAAAGCAGTTGCTCATGAGTACATTGAATGTGAGCTCATGGTAAACTCCATCAATACTTTTTGGCAATTTAATCAATACCCTTTTATTTCTTTGTTAGTTCATTGATGTAATTTTTCCTAAAATGAAAAGGAAATTGGGTTTATGATTTTTTTAATGGGTGTAGATTGATTTAATCTTGCACAAGCCAAAAGCATACAGACATGTACTTTTCAATGTTCTCAACCATGAAAGTACCCATTTTCAGGTATAATTGAATTGTTTGGTTTTGCACTGTTATTGTTAGTCATTGAAACATAAAGTTTGCTCTTTGTTTAATTACCCGGGCATGCTGACTCTGACATGAAATGGTATTTTCGACAACTTTGCAGGGTTTATTGTGGAAGTTATTAGTTGGTTTTCTTGTGCTGGATGCATGTATCCTTATAGAAAGCAATTTTTACTTGGATATAGTTTAACTATAACACTGTTATGTAATTCTTAGAGTTATTTATGATAAGTTGGGTTCCTTATCTCTCTAAGACAAAAGTTTGCTTATAAAAAAACAGAGGAAGAATGGGGCACATCCATGAGCATTTCTTCATTTTTTTGGATATATCATAAGGTTTGTTGTCTTATGTAAGTGCAAATGAATTTCAGGTTCTAGATTTTCTTATGTTTGGCCTGTTGATAATTTCTGATGAATGTCTTTGCTAATTCCAACAGCAGATGTTGGTGGATGTATTTGTGGGAAACTATATGTTTCTATGTTCCTTTTTCCTTGCAATCAGAAGCCTGCTTAAGACATCAGCTCGATTCTCCGGGTATGCTAATTCCAACAGCAGATGTTGGCTTTGATGAACTGTTTCTTTCTTGTGAACTAGTGATAACCAAGTCGACTATGAATCGATGTATATGGGCCTGCTTCATCGCGCATTCTGTAAAATTCTGTACAACACAGGCATTAAGACATTGAGATATTTTGACTTTTTTTCTTTTCCTTTCAAAATGTTCACACATATTCAACTAGAAATAGCTTTTGTTTGTTCAATTTTCTGTTGTGTGTATTGCCAATTATCTTTAACTTGTGTTGCTTGCTTTTGGAGAGTTCAGGATAAGCTTCAACTTCGTCAGTAATGAAGACAGTTGAATTCCAAAATCCATCATCTTGTTCATTAGGGTTTATTTGACGACTTTGAACCTCGTCTGAGTTTTTGCTCCATTTTTGGTTCCCATTGTTTCCCATAGAATATAATAAATGTTAGTTCTAGACATTCTAGAAAGTTCCATACCGTGCTGTTTCGGCCGTCTTCATTGGCATATCATGATTCATGCCAACCAGCGGCGGCTCATTCTTTCATTTTCTTTCTTCCAAAGCTAGCTAATCTGTACCGTACGAGATTAATTTCTCAGATTTCTGTCCCATTGGACTGGCTAATGCCCCATCTTGTAGCAGAGATGTAAATACTGAGAAATTTAAACTGATCCTAAAGGTTTAAATCTTTCATTTTTCAATCAAAGCAATTAAGCTAATGGTAAGCAAATCCGAAAACTGTGAAGATGTTGTGGATTTGCGCTTCGGTTACCACGCATTTCCCTTACGGCCATATCGCAGATGAAGTGAAGCGGGATACAACAAGATGACGCGCATCAATCATCTTTACAATAGCATCCATTATGATATTGATGCCGATATATATTTCAAGCCAAATGATCACCAAGGCAATGCTAGTTAATCCCAAGCTTAAAACAGGGTTTTAGGCCTGGGAACCTATTATGTGTTGAGTGCAACCATCAGCTGAGATTGACGCTCTTAGCTAACATGTCCATATGAAGCTGCTCTCAACCTGGCGTTGGGGGCAGCCTACTACCTTACCTCTCCTTTACTACATTACATATGGAAATAGGGTCAGTTAATTTAAGGACAAAGTCAATATATCATTTTTAAAATATAATAAACAATAAAAAAATGGAGGGGAACGAAATTAAAATTTAAAGTTTAAGAAGATATTTACCCTACACGTTTTTTTAATTATAAAAAAAATTAGGGCAATGGCCTTTCTAAGACGAAGCAAAACTTCGTCCTGATTGTATCATACGAAAATCAGAGGAAGAGAAAAATAGAGAAAATAAATGATTGTAATGTGTACAATATTTAGTTAAATATTATTTTTATTAGAAGCAAAAATCACAAATCTTACAGTAAACAGTGTTATGTATGTGTAAACTTCGATTTAAATCACCTAATAAATATAAAAACAACTGGAAAAAATCTATATCCAATCAATATAAGATACAATTCCCTTGCATTACCAACACACTTCTCTATTCTACTACTTTAGTTCCGGTATCGCTCCCACGTAGGGATGGCAAACGGATATAATTTCGTGGATTCCGTACCGCATCCGCTCTGATTGGGGCGGGTACAATTTCGTGGATTCCGCACCGCATCCGCTCTAATTGGGGCGGGAATGGGTATAATTTTAGTGGGTAGTGGGCGGATGTGGATTTAGAAAGTGGTACCCGTCGCGGGTAGTGAGCGGGTAATGGGTTTGACACCTTACCCGCCCCGCATCCGCCCGCCCAGCTAAATATCCATTACATTTTGGACATTATGAATTTATGTGTAATTTTAGAGACTAATTTATAAATCCTAATATTGTATAAGATATAACTTGTTATTTAACCAAATATTAGGGATAAATTAAGTTTATGCATATTTTTTTTCTTTTCAGACCTCTCATTTTCATTACTGCGCCGATCTTCAAAGGCAGTCTGGGTTCTACGTATTTCTCAATTTCATATATTACTATCAAGTTTCTGTCGATCTTCAAATGATGTTGGATTTTGTGGTGTTTTTGGTATAAATGATTCATTGTCTTAGGATATTGGAAGGGATTGCATAATAAAATACTCGTTTTTTTAGTTAAAATGTCGAAATCTTATATCAATCTGCATTCATTGATACTGGTTGGAACAGTTCAAAACTTATCGAAACTGTGGAAACGTACTGAAATTCGGATTGGAATGGAGCTTAGACTACTTGATATCAGTTTAGGGCAAAATGAGTAAGTATTAGTTTTATTTATGTGTTTGTTGCTTATGTATAACTTAAGTTTGCTGTCAAGCGGGACTAACCGGGTACATCTCTAGTTGGATAGTGAGTGTGGGGATGGATTTGAGAATATACCCACGTGGGCAGTTGTGGATTTAAAATTTTTTACCCATCATGAGTGATGAGCGGGTGATAGATTGAAAAATATTAAATGGGTATGAAGATGGGGAGGGGATATCCGCACCCGACCCACCCATTTACCATCCCTACTCCCACGTGCTATAGATCCCAATTCATGCTTTAAGGATGTTATAATCAATTTGTCAGAGGACCATGTAAATGTTTACAGCAAATGCCCAACGACTTGACTGTAGATTGAAAAGGTCCAATTTAATTTCTTCTATCAGTTATCATAAAAGATATTCTAATTAATTACAAATTCTCCAAACTTACACCAATGGGGTGGTGGTGCATTTGGCTAGCGCGTAGGTCTCATAGCATGCTGAGTTATCCCGAGGTCGAGCCTTTCTCACCCCATTTTGTTTTTGAACGTTAACATGCTTTTCAGACAATAATAAAATACAGATTACAATAAATAATAACCTTCCATGGAATTAAGTCATTGGGGTGGTGGCGCAGTTGGCTAGCGCGTAGGTCTCATAGCTTTATTGTGTTATCCTGAGGTCGAGAGTTCGAGCCTCTCTCACCCCAAATTTTTACTTAATTATTTAACTTTTTTTTCGGGACAGTCACAAGCCGTAAAGTATGCATATACCTTCGACCTAAAGTCAGAAGGTTACACTGTCTTCATGTATTTTGAAACAGCTTTGGTTACTTACTATCATTATAATTGAGAAGGTGAGGGCATAGCTACTAATGAATTATATGAATGCATATATATTGCCCTAAAGTCAAAAACTTCCATTGTTCATATATTCCGGAAATATGAGGTAACAATTATGTTCTGAGCTTAGCCTTAAGACTCCCCAAATCCCAAGTTTTGAGATCCTTCCTTACCCTTTTGATTTCATTCATTGATTCATACAACTGTTAGCTCCAACCCTGGCCGGCCTGATTATAGTTTACGCCAGGCCTTACACAAGCTTATTATTTTTCATACCATTCCTAGGCTGATCTGCTTATACACTGCAAACTTTGCCGTATAAACAAAACAAAAGCTAATTTCTCATTTTGTTCTATCATCAACCGGTCTACAGGTTCCGTTGTGGACACCGTAATCTCACCGGGGAGAACACTGCAGTTAGTCGGGCATGATCGGAAAGAGAGTAGTTTTCAGGCCATATCCCTTTCTCTACTTCACGAGGGAAGAGAGCTGCATTCTTTACAGCAAAACCAATAGCCACTTCTTCTTTACCTTCATTCAAGTTATCTGAGCTGCAATCTCCATCCATATGTTCTGACCATGTAGAGTTCCAGATTCTCTGTAGTAATGTAAACCAAATACTAAATGCTTTATTCTATGTAGTTAAACACAGAATTAAAACATGATAGAAATATGCAGCAAACCTTAAATTCTTCATAATCTAGAACACCATTTCCGTCAAAGTCTGCTTGGAGCCAGAGATATTTTGTATCCTGGAAACTTAGTCCATATGAAAGACCGGTTAAATTTACCTGTAGATGGACATGGTTTGGAAAAAGGTGAGAATTTTATCACTACCATTATACTAATTATATCAAGAAAGTGAATGAAGAATACCTGTCTAAGAGCATCACAAAAAGCCGAATAAGTTATGTGGTTGACATTGTTGTCAGCCCTTAGAAAGGCAAAGGCATCCCTTTCGGCCAATGAAGCCTTTTGAAGTTGAAACTGGAACCAAGAAAATTAAAACTAAATTTTAGATGCAGAAGTACGTATGACAATTGGCGATCTTTATTACGAAAAGAAAACGTAAAACAGATATTCCCTATCATGCTCCTAATCATAAGACACTAGTGAAGCAAAGTCACAGATTTGACTAGTTATAATGCATAAGGTTTTCAGGAATTTAGTTTCACATATGACCTGCCCCGATGAAATACCTAATGGTTCCTTTATAGAGAGAACAACTAGAGATTTGAATACTAATATAAAAACTGAATAAGCTATAATATGAGCTAGAAAGACAGAATTTGGTACAAGTAATTAACAGCTTAGCATTGAAAATGCTGAACTAACCTTTATTATGCCAAAAGCTGCTTCAGCCCAACTTATCTTCAATGGTTTTCGTGACTTATTAGGATTACGAAGCCATATGAAATCAACACCACAGATGTTTCCTCTATGATTCCGATGACTAACCCACTGTGGGATATATGAGTGGAGCCAACATATTTAATCAGTAAGCATAGCAGACTTCAACATATACTGATTTATTGATGAGCTGCTTAAATCTGAAATTGAGTAACACTAACCTTGTCAGCATATGCAGTACTTGTATATTCATGAGCAATATCGTAAGATGACACAAATCCCTGGGACCTGAGGAACTTGTAGACATGCCCACGCTTGCTTCCATTCCAGTCACTGAAAATAAATAACATTTGAAAAACAAAATAAATCAAGACCAAATTTAAAAGATGAAGGCCTTTTCTGAGGAGATCATTAAATGATAAAACCAAAGATAATGCTTACCCGCAGAGTATGACAGGCATCTGGGTGAGTTTGTTTTCTTTCTGATATGTTTCCAGATATAGTAGTATTTGATAAACCTGAGAGAAGAATACCGAAACTACAGATAAGTATAGTTCTGTATCTTAGAAACGAACTGAAATAGAAGCTGGAGTTTCACAGGGACATATATCAGAAGAAGATGATATCAACCTGGTGCAGTCGTACGACGGATAAACTGGAATCATGAGGAAACAATAGGTGGGTGTTCACAATAAGAATTTCTTGTTCAACACAGCAATTCTGACTTATTGCAAATGGGACAACTGATTGAACATGTAACAATTGAGCGACTCGGTCTCCACAGTCATTGAAGAGCAATTCTTTATGATTTAAAACCCTGAAGTAGTCCTTGTGTATAGCTGTTAGTAAACCTGGAGAAGCAAATATGAACCTCCCTATCAACCCAACGTATAAACAAAACCTTAAATTTGCCTCATTATTAGAAGAAATCAGTTTAAGAGAGCGTACCATCTCCGCGGTTGTTGGTTCTTGCGAGCTTGAAGGTCTCGTAGCCTGCAGCACCAAGTCTATCTTCAAACATATGTACCAATTCCTCATTTCCAACCCAAAATTCCTGGTCATTGAATGAAACAAATACATATTTGAAAGATGCATATGTGACAAGAGTAGAAAAAAAGGCCCTTAATGGAAGGAACGACTCATTTCTTTTAGCAAATCATTTTCAGAAAATCAAACTAATGAGAGAGAGTGAGAGCGAAAGCAATAGAAAGAAAAGGGCACAGAAAAAGCACCTGCAGACAGATAATGGAAGAACTTTCATAGAGCAACCAATCTACAATCCTCTCATTTCTTGATAACCAAAATGCTCTAAAATCACTCTCTCGTATGCTCTGATTCTGTTTCCATTATCGCACATGATAAAATCAAATTAGTAAATCTTACAAATGAAAAAAAGGCATAAATTAAATTGGAGGAAAAAAAGAAGAGAAAAGAAGTCACCTGCTGATCCAATCGCTTGTAGATAGGAGCCAGGATGTTGAATGTAGTACAAGAAACGCAAGGCTCTTCTTTCACTGGTGAAGAGATTTTACCCGATTTATTCCTCAAAATCGTTCCTCTAAAAGGAACAGATCCGTTCTCAGTTGAATCCACATTAGCAAATTCAGGGTCATTATAAAATCCTGCCAACACCTTTTTTTCCAATCAAAATCATCATTACAAGACGGTAAAATTGAAAGAAAAAAAAATCCGAGAATCCCAAATAAGCCGAAAATATTCCAAATTTCCACTTACCATTTCAGAAATCTTGTCACTTTTATAGCTTTCCTTCTTCTTGTTCGACGTAAACAATGAGAAACGGAGAGAAAGGATAGAAAGGAGGAAACAGAAACCCAATTTTTTATTCTCTTTTCCGAGAAGGGTGCTTTCAAAATTTAGATATTTGACGTTTGGCTTTGTGGTGAAGTATGCCCAGAATCAAAAAAAAAATATTTGATGGAGAAATGATTGATAGAATTCAGGGAGAGGGAAGCAGCTGGGTAATGTATTTATTAAATGTATTATTTTTCTGAACCGCTGGCTTAGCCTTGGCTGAGAGGTCCCTCTCCCTTATTTTTGTAAGGGGAGGAGTTTTAACATCCTTTTGTATCATTATTTTTTAACTGTGACAACTAACTAACAACTTTCCTTTTCCATTTTGGGTGATTAAGCCCTTTTTTTCACTGATTAAAGTGGGACTTCCATTTATTAATTTCTTGAAATAAATAGTTTTTATGGCCAGATTTATCATCTAATTAATCCAAACATATAATTACTGATTTTTTCGATTTTAATTTTAGAATATTAAGGAGTTGAAAAATGAAAACAGTAACCATTTTAATAATATACTCAACTAAATAAAAAATTGTTTAGTGTTATAATATATTTTTATAGATCTTGACATTTAAATAGTAATAATAAACAAAATTGGATTACGCTGCCAGTACTAGGAAATATATTAATTAGTTGAAATTTAAAAAAGAAAAGAAAAATTGAAATGGAACACGCAAATGCAAGCAAAGCAACCGCGTGTTCCAATGGTGCAAGTGATTATCTATCTGTTTTCAGAGTTTCTAGTACTTAAAGGAACATATAAATATAAAAAAATAAAATGGACGACGGCACCGACAGCCTCAGCAGTCAGCACACTAACTGGCTTAGCATAAATGAATGTGATATTCAACAGAGAAGCTGAAGAACCCCACTATGAAGGCTTTACTGAGTTCATGAATTTGAAGTTTTTTCCCCCCAGGCAGATTAATCAAAACAAAACAAGCACACGGAAGAAAGGAAGAAGATTTATCTAGTTACCGAGGGAAAAAAGGAAAATCAGAATGGTATGTTAAGCCGAAGAAGTTAGGTTACAGTAGTACATATAAGCAAAACGAATGGAAGACGAAAGAGATACATATCGCATCCGAGAGAAAACATAAAATGTCTCTAATCTCAGTCATTAGAAAAGACCACACAATACAGAAAATCCGAGCAAGACGAGCCAAACAATATGAACCAAAAGCAGAGCTTGACCAGGAAACGAGGCGGTACCTCCATTCCCAACCTCGCAAAATCCTACTTTCACCACGTTAGTTCCGGCACACAACGCATCGGTGCAACCACACCAGTAGGTGACGCCATCGACGCCGCAAAGGGGCTCCGTTCGGAAGCAATTGACTGGGAACGATGCAGGTTTAGTGAATCGTGGGCATATGCCTTCGTTCTCATCGGCGTTGGTGAAGCCTTCGGAAGGTAACCGGATAGATCCCGGAATATCCGGCAACGATCGCGAAATCGGCGCCAAAATACAGAAGCGGTGCTGCAGAGGAAGAGGATGGTTAAGAAATTGAGCTGAATTGCCTTGAACCACGGCATACGGGTTGCAATTGAAATGATTTCTTGCAATTGATTAACGAACCCTAACCCGACCTTTTTGCGAGGGCTGCCGTCTTTGACAGTTATTTTTCTTCACCAGGCAAAAGTCGTTCAACCAACATCTACCTGACTTTCTTATTTACTTATTTATTTTTTTCACTTTTTTTTTCTTGTTTAATCCAATTTCCTTTGTAGACCAATCTCGTTTGCCGGTCCATTCTTTTTCCAGAATGGCTGTTTAAGCCCAAACCCATTTAAACCGGACTTGCATCTATATTTTATAGAATGTTAAAATATCCAAAATCCTATACTCTGCCTACATTTGGGATAATGATAAAATTAGCGTCCAAATATTTGTTAAAATAGTAATTTTGATTCTTATTATTTATTTTAAAATATTTTGACTCTTAATATTTTAATTTTTTTTATAAAAATAATCTTTATTGGATGAAAACTATTAGTTGATTAATAATCAATATATGTTGACGTGATATTTTCACATGTGCTTAATTAATAAAGTGACACATATCATGTCATTACTTTAGGTGATATGTGACATGTTATGTCAATAATTAAACACGTGTGAAAATATCATGTCAGCAACACGCGTTAACTGTTAGTTAACTAACAACTTTCATCCAATTGAGTTTTTTTTAATCAAAAAATAAAACATTGAAAATTAAAATGCTCTGAAAAAGAATAGAAACTAAAGTGACTATTTAAACAAATATAAGAAACTTGCATTCAGGCAGTTTCTATTCATGTGGCTCTCGTATAGGCCCATTGCCAGTTGCAATGTCCCTTTTTATTGCTTCTTGAATCCATTTGATAACAAACCACCGGAAGGCATAGGAAAATATTCATTTGAGTTCCAATTCAGCCCAAACAGAAACTAATAAACTGTGGAAACTTTACCTGAAGTCCAAGAACAAGGGGAATCCACAATTTTCCTTTATCATTAGTGTCAGACCCATCAACCAACTTCTTGCTAACTACAATGGCTCGACTCTTATTCGTGGCAACAGTTGTGGTGGTTTTTACCAAGTTCACATTCCAAGCATCGCCATTGGGAAGAATCTGTATACAGATAACATGGAATTACCTAAGAATCAAGGAGTCGCCGACAATAAATTAGTCTAATGGGATAAAACATATCCTTAAACAAAGTCAGAGAGTTCGAGTCATGATATTATGAATGTAACAAATTGGATTGGGAGGATTATCCCATAATAAGTCTCCGCATTACTTAATCCAGATCAATCAATCAATAGATTGAATCACAGTGATTACTCCCAAAAATAAAGAATTAAGACATTCAAAATAATTTCAACTGTAATTTAACGTATATATTGGTTTGATTAAAATCATAACAAGATTGTACCTTGGTTTAAACTCAAACGAGAGTATTTATTAATTTTTTTTAATTTATCTCATTAAAACGACATTGTATTGAATATCAAAATAGTCACACAACCTAAAATAAAAATATAAAATCTTTTTATTGCAATATTTATATTAACAACAATCATTTACGTTATCGTGTTATTGCTAAATTAATAATCTAATAACATAATAAAAAATAAAACTAAATATTATAATGAAAGTAATTAAAGATAAATAATATAATATCTAAAGTTTAATAACACCTAATATAATTTACTCTAACAATAATTGAGATCCACGATTAATCAAAAGAGGAATGATTTGGATAAAATGATAAGATATATAATATGGGTACAGTTATCTAAATATCATAATATTATATTAGTATTTTTATTTTTATTTAAGAGTTACTTGTATTATACGATTTTATATTATTGTTCAGATTATATGTTAATTTTAATATCCAAAACATTATAGTTAAATTTTAATTTATAAATATTATTTTAATAAGGTCATTCTGTCAAATTTAATTATATTTCAACTTGCAGGGATGGATCATAGTGAGTGCCACCCTAAGATTTCGGAAAATGTATATTTAGTCCTTTAATATTTTTTTCTAAAAAATAATGGATTCCTCAAAATTTGTAAAAATTCGCAATAACCTTGAACTTTTTAATAGTTTTAAATAAACCCCTCAAAAGATATGAAAATTCTCCTTAAACCACTTAAAAATCTTAAACTTTTAAATTAAACCTTTTAAAATTCTCATTAACTCCTTAAAATAAATTAAAAATTAAGTTTTTCCCCCGACTATATTACCAAAATATGTCAATTTGAGGTTGAATGTTAAATGTTAATTAAGATATGATACAAAACGTACTTAAAATTTATAGATCAAATATTAGATAATGTATATTTATTATACAAAAAACTTTGAGGAGATATATTAAAAAATATTCTTTAAAATTTTAATAATATAATATATTTTTATATATTTAATGATGGATCGAAGGAGGTTGGTAAGGCAATCACCTCAAAAAAGCATGACAATACTAAATTCTCATATATATATATTATTGATAATTTACTTTTACCCTTCAAATCTTATAAATTTATCTATGATATAAAATCTTAATTTTATTTATTCATAATTTTGGAAACTATTAACTAATATATATATATATCAGATCCAATGCAACATTTGTACACATGTTAGTGTGTAGTTGAAGAAACCTACATACACCTAGGTGCACTTTGATAAAATATTAAATAATAACAACATAATGAGAAAAAAAATAATAAAAAGGTAAGGATTATATTTGATCAAACTGGCGCTGACTGTGATTTTCTAAAGAAATCTCTTTTCATATTTCTTCTCATAATTAAGAGTTTTGAGATTAATTTCAAGATTTATATATTTAAATTTATTTAATAAATTAAAAATTTTAAATCTTAATTATTGATAGCGTACACATATCTTACATATCAACTGTTCAAATCTAAATACTCTAAAAAACTAATATTCTTTTTTATTAGTGAGGTCAATTAATAGATTCTATTGAAAAAAATTTAAATTTTAAAACTCATTCAATAATACATAATTCTTTTTAGTTAAAATAATATTTTATTCATAAATTTACTTGATTATAAAAATAATTCAACAAAGACTACTTTGTTATATAATCAATATTTGACGGTGGACATGATCCTACATTTTAGGGGTCTTTGTCTGGAAATATTGATGAAGTTGGAAGTTTAGACGTCGCTGACATGACTATAAAATATAATCTCAACGATAACGATTGATAATGAAGGAACAAATATTGGGTTAAATCTATAAATTTTAGGGTAAAATATGTATTTAATATCTAAACTATCAGTTTTAGTTCATTTTAATACCTAAACTTTCAATTATTTCAAAAGCATACATAACGTTTAGTTTTTATTTCATTTAAGTACCCTGTCGTTAAAAACTTAACGGATGGGCTAACGGGGCATAGCTCTGATGGACGGACAACCAATCCAAACGGTGGACCACGAGAAAATAACGAGTCGACCAACATAGTCCAGTTTCAGGCCAATCAGACGATCGACAGAGATTGGATGATGAAGAAGTCGAAGAGTTTATCATCGATTTGGGGATAATTGAGGTATTTTCCGGTGAAATGAATGTTGGAATCACATTCACGTGGTCGAAAAGGTGCGAGTTGAAAAGTTTGGACTTCATTGGCCGACGGATGCGACGACTGTAGATGTGACGGCCAGCGCACCCACCTCTTAATTTTTT